AGTCCGAAAATTAATGGTTTTAATTTTCACCATAGATACTGTAAGAGTTTAAAATATGGGCTTCGTGGTAGCGAGACAATTGGATGGAGAGTGACACCGTCTTCATATACTATCCGTAATCCATAAATTCTTTCAATGCTTGTATCAGCAGCTTTCATATTCCATCTTTTCTGGATTGGGATAAAGTTCGTTGTCTGTAGTTTCGTCAGTGCTGCGTTTATTTGCGTAAAAAGTTTTGAACAAGGATGCTGATTGATAAGGTGGTATGTGGTCGTATCGGAAAGGCGTTGTTTGGTCTTTGCAATGTAGTACGTTTTATCCATTATTAATGCCACGGGTCACTTGACTGCTGGTAAGATTATATTTGCTTCATTCTGTAGCCTTCAGAGTGCTAACCGTTTTTCCTTGAAATAAGTATGTTTAGCTTTGTTACGTACTATCTCAGCGACAACCTTTGCTTAATGTTTCCACGACTCTTTTCATAGTCCGCTAGTGTTTAGACCCTGTTCCCGACTAGCCAATTACTCTTTACATGAAAAGTCCTAAAGTTGAACTTTGACCACATGATTAGTATACCCCTTTCGGTTCTGCTGATTTGACGGCCTAACACCTTTTGAGCTACGCCTGATTTTTGGGGTGGTCAGACTTCCTCGGGAGCTTATTTAGCTTAACATTCAGTGGGAAGTTACGCTGATACCTGGTGTTGTTTAGTAGACGTTCAGTTGCGGATTCAATGCCTGCGTATTTTTGGAGGCCGATCGCAATGAGGCAGCCATACTCTTTCTCAATTGATTGCATCCTTAACGCGATGAATTTTCTGTAATACAGCAGCTTGCATCCTCAGCGCAAAACTATAATCCGATGGTCAGGAAAATTGCATGTACGACGTCCTCAATGAACCAGCTGTCCGCTCTCCTCAATCGGACAGCTCGTGGGTTAGGCAAGCCATCTGCTCGTCTAGGTGCGCACCAGCATCAGACAACAAGCGGGTGGAAGCACGGGATTGCTTACGAAATGGCTCCAAAACCCGAAGCCTAGGATGTGAAGGTTAGGCGAACTCAGTACCATCCGGATGAACGCAGACGTAGCAGAGAATATGTCCGGAACAATGGATCGCCCCACCTGGCTTGATCGAGCGCGCTGTGATTGAAGTCACAAAGCTTGCACAAAAAGTCCCGAGTGAGCAAACCACAGGTCCGTTTGATGCGAGCGCACAGCTGACTCACTGAGAACGTAGTGGATGCAAATTCCATAACTATCGGCTTAGCGTATTTGAGTTATGGATGCAAGCTGCTGTACTGCGGTTGAAAGTCTTTGCATTAAAGAAGTAATCAATGGAGAAACGGTATAAAAGGACTCGTGACTAGTTGCTCAGGACATGTTTGTGTGTTTG